TAAGACTAACTAAACGTGAAGACGGGCAACGATATTTGTAGAGGCGACATACATATAAAGGGGATAATTGGTCGATCAAGCCAGAATGAAATACTAAGTACACACGAGTGTGTCGTGTGTTTCGGTTGTGTGTATTTTTGTGTGTGTGTGTTGGCATATAGATTAACTAACAAAACTTACAACTTACACAGAATTCATTTAAGCATCTTCCCTTTGTGAATCTACAAATTCGAGACAGTCGAGCACCCGAACCCTGCACTGCGAAATCACATACAACATACATGCAGACATACCATACAAACAGATTTTTCAAGGCATAGTTATTAATCTCTGTGTTTTAGTTTTGTTTTTTAAATCTTGTACCCCAAATAGTTGGCTTACTGCTGGCTTTGCTCATTGTTCATCACTCTGCAAATTATTATTAGTGTATATGTATATATAGTTGTTCTGTGTGAGATATAGTGCCTAAGTGTGTGAGTGTTGAGGGTAGAGGGCGTGTGTGGGGGTGTTCGTTATCTAACGACTTTGGCTTTTCGAATGTTGAATTAACCACTGCAGCGTTATGTCAATGTTGTCCTTCTCCTTGCAGGAAATACTATAGCAGCAGATTTCTCGGTCCTGTATGCTCGATAAATTCCTGAAAATAAATGTCGGTCATTAGTTATTAATCGTTAAAACGGATTTTCTATATGTTAGATACTCACATGCGATCGATGAGCCCGGTTTCATCGAGAGCGCCTGGAAGATCACGTTTGTTGCCCAACACGAGCACTGGAATGCCAGCCAGTTGCGGTTTGTCCAATAGTGAGTGCAGCTCGTTCCTCGAGGCCTCCAATTTGTCCAGATCGGCTGCATCCACCATATAGCTATTGATTAAAACATTAAGGTGTTAATTGGTTTTCGTTGTTCCTTAACTTGTATTATTACTTACACAATGGCATTAACGCCGCGACAATAGCGCTCCCACATAGATCGGAATCGGGGCTGGCCACCAATATCCCACACCTTGATCGTCACATTGCCCCGGGTGATCTTTCGCATGTTGAAGCCAACTGTGGGTATCATGTCCTCAGCGAATTGGCCGGACTGAAATAAACGAAAAAAGATTAATAAGACATAAATACTTTTATTTTTTTCAAGACGTATTTTATTTTGTAAAACTACTGGAAAATTTCAAATACTTTAGTGCAACTTCATTCTGAGAGAATAAAGCCCAAAAGTATGCAACTGAAAAAGAACAGAAATGTATGTCAAATTTGTGTAAAAATACATTTTTTTCCTCAGGCAGATTTCATCAAATTTAGTGGTATTTAAAGCATAGTCAACATCGAATAAGAATACGAAAGTCAACATCGAATAAGAATACGAAAGTGTTTTAAGCATTATAAAATTAAGTGCAACGAATGTAATAATTCTTGACCTTTTAAAAAGAATTACAAAACTGATATAGATGTTTTTATGGATTGCAACCCGGCTCCATTCATTCAATGAAGGTTATGTAAAAAAAATAGACCCTAAGGCTAGGACAAAATCTAAATTACAAATAATCTTGTTAGTATAATTCTAAAATATTAGTGGTTATATCCCGTTAAACCCGTATATAAACAAATAACTATGAAATGTTATTTCAACTCATTTTTATATCTACGCATGACAAGCTAACAAGGATTCATTAAGGGAACATGAATGTTTTGTGGTTTTATTTTGATATGGTTTGAAATCAAAACAGTAAGTATGACAAATCATGATGTATCGAATGAATGTGGACAAGCAGCTGACTATTATAGCTGCAATGTGATAAGACTGTTGCACATATATTCCCGGTGAAATTGAATAAAATATGATATTGGTAAGTATATAAATTGGTATAAACTTCTTAAGAATTAGTTAGTGCATAAATTCATATTTAGTAGATTATATACTTGTCTGTCAACCTCAATTTAGTTTGCAATCAGAACCGCGACATTACACTACTGAATGAATCTGAGTAAACAGTAGATTACACGGAGTCTAATAACAGTGATAAGCGGGTGAAATTTTCCGTTTTAGGAGCACTTGAGCAAACAAATTTCCACGGTTAATTCAAGTGGATGCGGGTACATTTCATTTCACATGACTCATAAGTCAGGCGGTCACAAAGGCAGTAACTCCACCTCCGAAACCCCCGGGAAATAATACTGTTTGCCTAGGATTTCTGAGATGGAAACTTCAGATCGCGTCGTTATCAGCGCGCAGAAATATGTGACAAAATATGGAGGCGGTATGGGGAGGCGCAAAAGGGGGCGGGGTCAATGATAATGGCGTCATTTGTGCGGAGAACATGCGTATATGTATATTGGTTTATTGATTACAGACGGCAGGAACGGTAAACTTTACCACTAGAATAAAACGGTTAGCATAGCGTTAATTATTGATGCAGTGAGAGAAAACGGGGGAGCATGGACAGATAAGAAATAAACAAAGGGAAATTGGGGAAGGTAATTCCTTTGTGACTGGGGGTTTGTTTTGTTCTTTAACTGACATTTAGTCATAGCTGATCCCCCGGCTTTCTCCACACCAAACCCCCGCCCACCCAAAAAAAAAAAACCACCCTCTCACCCATACACTGGCAAATTCGCACACATACACCCACTGCGAAATACTCACTGCAATAACATTGACGAACGTCGTCTTCCCGGAGAATTGCAGCCCCACCAGCGTCAGTTCCATCTCCTCTTTCCAGAAGATGCTCTTGAACCACTCGAGGATCCTGTTGATTAGGGCCAACATCCTGGGGCAGGTGTGTTTTTATCCGGGATCTGGTTGGATTCGCGAAAAAAGGTTTCCAAAGAGCGTAAATGGCGTTGGCGTGAAAAAACAACTGGTCAGGTCAGTGTGACCAAGTGCGAGGGATTGCCGAAATACCAACATTGCTTGACTGGGGGAGGTTGTGCAGCACTGAAAGTACGGCAGTTCATGGTGAATGGCTAAAGCTCTTACTGAAATATTTGTAATAAATTATTAAATTATAAATTAAATTTTCGCCTATTTATTGGAAACGTACTTTTAAATTATGTAAAGCTTATATTGTAAAAATGATGGCTCAAAATTATAAACCTTTACAGATTTCATGCTACTAAATTTTTTTACAAAATTGAAACGAACCTCAAATGAAACTAATATATATGATAATTGACAATTCGTTTAAAAAAGTTCCCTTGTATTAAAACAAGTAACTTTAAGTATATACATATCATTAAAAACATTGTTCTTAAACATTTAAAATAGGATGTATAACAATTTCATTGTGAGTTACCATAAATTACATATCAAAGATCTAAAACTTTTCTCGAAATCTTTTTGTTAAAGAAAAGCTTGTATCGGATTATCTTGATTTCAATTTATTGAACTAAAACTCTTACTAAGGCTTTATGATCAAGAGAATGTACATTAATAATTTAATGTAAGTATTTTAAAAATTAAATAGTTTAATATAATATAATATAAAATAATATAATTAAAATAAAATAGTTTAATAAAATAAACTATATATAATTTTTAAAATATTTGAGAAAAGAATGAAATCCCATAGTAGCGAAAAAATTAAAATTCCATTCTTTTCTGTACTCTTTTAAAAATTATTAATAGTTTACTTTACCACAATATCATCACTATATTATCCCTACTGTATTGCCTATCGATAAATGTGGCATCGAAACTGTTAGCCTCGTGGTGATTGACATTTTTGGAAGAAGAAGATAGTAAACAAAATGGTAAGTCTGCGAAATTTTAATTAAATTGCGACTAAAATGTATAATAAATGTGTTATTTCAGGCGCGCAATGCAGAAAAGGCAATGTAAGTAACCCAGGAATGCGAAAATCAAAAGAATTTGTATATTTATTGGTTTGTTTTGTATAGGACAACTTTGGCACGTTGGCGGGCCGCCAAAGAAGTGGAATCCGGCGAAAAGGAACGCCGGCCTTATTTGGCCTCCGAATGCCACGATTTGCCCCGTTGCGAAAAGTTCCGCCTGGAGATTATACGAGAGATATCCAAGAAGGTGGCCCAGATACAAAATGGTACTTGTTAGAGTTAGAATTCCGTATAAGATGTACTTACACCCACTATTTACAGCTGGCTTGGGTGAATTCCGCATCCGCGATCTCAACGATGAAATCAACAAGTTGCTGCGTGAAAAACGCCATTGGGAAAATCAGATATCTTCGTTGGGAGGCCCTCATTATAGACGTTATGGTCCCAAAATGTTCGATGCGGAGGGTCGCGAAGTTCCCGGCAATCGAGGTTATAAATACTTTGGAGCCGCCAAAGATTTGCCAGGTGTTCGAGAGCTCTTCGAACAGGATCCTCCACCGCCGCCCAGGAAATCACGCGCCGAACTGATGAAGGATATCGATGCAGAGTACTACGGCTATCGGGATGACGAAGATGGTGTTCTGATTCCTCTGGAGGAGCGAATCGAACGAGCAGCCATCCAGAAGGCAGTGCAAGAATGGCGCGACAAAATGGCCAGAGATGGTCGCATAATCGATGACGAAGAGGAGGAGGACGAAATATATCCCCTTTCGGGACCCGCTCGCGAAGCCATCGAGGATGCCAAGGCCCGAGCTGCGGTGGAGGATCCGCACGGTCTGCTGGCCCCAAAATTCACTGCCCATGTGCCTGTGCCCACGCAACAGGACGTGCAGGAAGCGCTGTTGCGCAAGCGGAAACAGGAACTTCTGGAGAAATATGCCGGTGGCGCCAACTGAACTCAATAAACATTCTAATTTTTTAGTGTGATTTTTCAAGATTTGACTAATTTTTATCTTTGGGAAATTAAACTACCTTATTGTTAATACAAGAACCCCAAAATAGAATTGTATTTGCTTCTAGCAAAACACAAAGTGTGTTATACAACCATTTTTCCTTTTTCAAAAAGGGATTTATTTCTGTGTATATTTTACTTTTAAGTAGAATAATTGTTAAACGTTTTGTAAACCAATTTTCAAGGCACTTCAATGCGCTGTGGTCTTTAATAACTATAGTTTTATTGTTCATTTAGAAGTTGAAGCTATCGAAATTGCGGCCTCCGCCGCCACGTCCGCCTCCTCGTCCTCCGCCGCCACCAAAGCGACCACCACCTCCTCCACCGCCTTCGGCAGCGCGTCTCTCCTTCATGGCCTTGAAACGCCTGGCCATGTTGTGCAGCTCGTCGGGCACCTCCTGATCCGCCTCCTGTAGGATATCAATCAACTCTTTGGCCATGCCCCAATCCTCGCGCGTGAGGAAGCTTATCGAAGTGCCTTTCCTGCCAGCGCGTCCTGTGCGACCCACACGGTGCACATACTCCTCGATGTTGCGCGGAAAATCGTAGTTGATGACATGACTAGGATGTGGAAAAGGTATCAACAGGTGTCTTAAATAAATACAATAAATAATTTCTTACGATATGTCCTCGATGTCCAGGCCACGTGAAGCCACATCGGTGGCGACGAGAATGTGCACAGCACCGGACTTTATGTCAGCTATAGCCTGCTCACGATCGCTCTGTTCGCGATTTCCATGAATACACTGGGTCATGAAACCATCTAGTGTGAGATCACTAGACAAATCATCGACACGAGCCTTGCGTCCGCAGAAAATTATGATCTTGTCCGATTTGGTCATGTTCTTTACAAACGATTTAATCGTGTTGAACTTTTCCGTGTCGTCCTCCAGCAGTTCAATCACTTGCTTAACCGAATGCGTGGCCGCCAGATCCAGAGAGCCGACACAAACTTGCATAGGATTCTTCATGTAGCTCTGAGCCAGGCGTCGAACACCAGGCGGCCAGGTGGCCGACGTCATGATGGTCTGGCGATCCGGACGGATATCCAGCATCACTTTGCGGATCTGCGGCTCGAAACCCATGTCCAACATGCGATCCGCCTCGTCGAGCACCAGATACGTAATGGTGCTCACATCGATGACGTTGGCCTGGACCAGATCGTTAAGACGTCCAGGAGTGCAGATGATGATCTCCGCACCGCGCTCCAAGTCCGAGATCTGCATGCGGCGGTCGCCACCGCCATAAACGCAAACACTAAAAAATAAAGCGAAATATGTGGATTTAGTCTACTCAAAATATTGAAAATATATAGTTTATTAAAGAAACTATAATTTGCATAGAGTCCTGGCTAAACTTTTCAGTACTCGGAAAATATAAAAATAAAAATTGTGTTAATTGAGACACTTGTTTTAAGTGAAACTATTTTATTCAAATTCTAATAGTTAGTAATTATTTATGTATTCCAGTTTGAATGGGAATTACTTAACATATTCATAAATATTCTACTAAGAGTACTGTCGATATATGAAAATGAAAGACCATCTATTTGGTTTCAAAAAAAATCAATTTCCCAAATATAAAATTTGTTTCTATAAAAACGATGGTTAGACCAATTTGCTTTTGATGATACTCACGCTTTCATGTCGCGGAAAGAGTACTTCTTGACCTCCATTTCGATCTGCAGAGCCAACTCTCGGGTGGGCGCCAGCACCAGGACATTGGCCCCGCCCCTCTTACCCCTGGGCACGCATTGGTACTCCGTGTGAATCATTCCGGGCAGCAAGAAGGCCAGTGTTTTGCCCGTGCCCGTTTGGGCGATGCCGATCATGTCGTGTCCCTGAAGGAGAATGGGCCACGCCTGCGATTGGATCGGTGAGGGCCCGGGGAAGCCCATCTTGGTGATCTCGCCTAGTAGATCCGGGTAATCGGCGAAGCATTGCTCGAATGTCCAAACCGGATTGGGAATGGGCGCAGCAGTTTCACCCTCCTTCGGTTCGAAAACGTGCGAGACTGTGATCTTGTTGTTATCCGCGCGAATGCGCTCGATCTGCGACTCGGTAAGATTGGCCACCTCGGGCGCCTCCCTTGTAGAAGTTCTTGGTCAGTGGTGGACACTTGGCCCAGCGAGCTGCAGTAGCTTTTTCCTGTAGGGAATTAAATGGGGTTTAGGGTATTGTGACAAATAAATTACTTTATCTGGATGTTTTTCGTGTGTCACGAGTTTTAAATATAATTGTGAAGTACGAAAGTCGATAAGACACTGAGCAATGATTGTACCTGTATCTGTATAATTTAGTCGTATATTATATTATAAAAGTAAAACATAATTGTTTATAAATAATTGATTTTTTTACTTCTTTTGAACGGCTTTAGCTTTAAGTAAGGAATATGTTTTAATTAAAAAATGTTTAAAGTGATCTGGGCATTTTCACTATAAAAACAAAACTTCTTTAAAAAATTAAAAGATAAGTTATTAAGATAAGTTATACTAATTCAACATTTAAATTATTAAAAGAACGATATTTAAAAAAATGTTTAAGAAAACACAAGAAAATGGATTTTTTAAATGTTTAAAAAACAGTGGTTGAGTCAATAAGTTTGGTTCTACTCACCGAAGCCTTATTTAGGGCTGCCCAATCGATGGTGCCAGTGAGATCCCCATCTTCTGGGATGGACCTGGAAGCCGGGGGATTGAATTCATAGCTGCTTCCCTTGGATCTGCCGTATCCTTCGCCGCCATGTCCTCCTCCGCCGCCATAGCCCCTACCTTCCCTATCTCGATCCCTGCCCGAGTCACAGCTGACCTGCTTGCGAACGTAATTTATGGCATCGGAGACGTTTCTCTGAAGGCTACCGGATATCTTGACCACCAAGTCGCTCTTGTCCACCTTGACACGGACATTGAAATCAGTCTGAATCCGGGAGATATTGGCACCAGCTCTTCCAATGACTTTTCCGATCATTTCGGAAGCGATGCTGAGGGATTCACTAAAATCTCCTCCTCCAGCGTAATCATCCCGATTGTCCCGATCATTTCGGCGTCCTCCGCCATAATCATCGCGATTGTCCCGATCATTTCGACGTCCTCCGCCGTAATCATCGCGGTTGTTCCGGCGTCCTCCGCCGTACTCATCGGGATTATCCCGTCGTCCTCCGCCGTAATCATCGCGATAGCCTCGACCATCACGATTTTCACGCCTTCCTCCGCCGTAATCATCCCGCTTCCTGTCGCCTCCGTATCCACGTGAATTATCATCGCGTCTCAGGCTCCTCTCGTACTTATCATTCATCTTGGAGTACTCCTGCATCTTTACAGGTGCCTCCACATAATTTGGATCGTCCCAATCGAGTTCCGACATTTCAGAGTCCGCTCGTCGCTTGATTTTGTTAGAATTAAACAAAAAACCTGGGACACGTGAAAAATGCTGACTTTGCAATTCGATGTGCCACTCTCAAACGGTAAACTTTTCGTTTGTGTGTGTTTGGTGGCTTAGAATTAAGCTTGCACAGCAAAAATAACACGCTGAATTAAGCAAAAAATCTGCAAGGAACTTTCAATCACCTTTTGCTTTGGCATTAAATAAGTATTTATTATTTTACTCACCCGATTCTGTTTTTTTCTTACACCATTTTAATCAGAATATGCAGGAAAAGAAAAATTAAACAAACCGCTTTGACGGATGCTTTTGGAGCAGGGTAGTATTTTAACCAGGGACGAATCGATTACTTTTGTCATTTTACTTTTAAAATCGATTAACTGGGAATATAAAAAATTAAAATACAAATTTAATTCCAAGCATTTGACACCAAATTAATCAGCAATATTTTATGAACTCTATATTATATAATTAAAATGGTTTTGGTAAAATGAGAAATTTTTAATTAAAATTTATTGCGAGTATTTTTGGGATTCCCCTAAAATTATTGTAACCTGAATTAAAATATCGATATACGTTAGCCGATAGCACTCGATATTTTCGACCTTCCCTGCCAGCCAGTGTTGTTAGATCCCGACATCTCCGAACTATGCAGCACTTATCCCCATTTTGGCGGTCCTGTTTGAAAATGCAAATGAAAACAGCAGTTGGTTTGGTTACTATTATAATTTCCTTTTACTTAACACACGGGTTACACTTTTCAGGTGTAGCTTAGCCTATTAGACTTATTGCCTAATTCAAATGAATTCAATCGCATTCATTATACTCTCACGCGCTCTTTTCATATAAATAACTAAAACTAAAAAACACAAACTTTCCTCACTTTCAAGAAGTAACTAAATTACATGCATGTTTATAGTGTGGTGTGGCTATAGCGGATTGATAAAACTTAGAACAGTTTTGATAAGATCTTTGCTGTGTATATGGCGGGGCTTCTTAAATTTTTGGGAATCGGGTAGGGTAAGTTTTGTGTGGCAAGTCAGCAGAAATAGTTGCAGTGCATTTTGGATTTTCATTGTTCTATGTGAATTTTAATATAGTTTATGTGTGTATAGGTATAGTTAAGATTCGCTTACGACTAAATTTAAACTAAACTAACATATACGAGGTTTTTTTTCTTCTCAAACAATTTATCCAGTTGGATATTTTGGATTACTTAAGTTGTTTTGTGTTGGTTCAGGGATGCGAAGAAATACATTACAAAAGCCTTTAAAAAGTATTGCAAATAGTTTAAGCTGCAATTGGTATTTCTTTCCATTTTTGTTTTGTTTAAGGTACGCTTGTATGTACAGTTTATGAACGTTTTTATTTACACGTTGCAGAGGTGGCTTAATATATCATTTAGCATCACCTTATTTTATAGGAAGTAGCAGCCCTTTTGCCGTTTTTGATTTGGTAAAATCCACGTTTCTTTTCAGCCAGGTAAGAAATTCTTAAGTTTTAGTAGTTCCAAAGTGATATAAAACTTAAAAACTTGGTCATTTTCTATATCTTTTTGAAGAAAAATATAGTATTATCAATTCTAATTTTGATCATAAAGAAAGTGGCAATTGGCTGTACATTTTCTTTCGTTTCACAGCTGCTATTCGGCGGCGACTTTTCGCGGGGATCCTATCTCAGTCCCTCGTCGAGTTGCCTGCCAAATGGATGTTCCTGATTTCCGGCGCCTCCTCGCAGACCGGAGTATGAAGCAATGACTTTGGGATGGGTGACGCGGGCGCATAGCTGGACTCCAGATTTAATCGCAGTTTGGCCGGCGAATTCCGCTTAAACAGAGCCAGTTGCCTCGTCGGCGACAGCAGATTTGGCTTGCTGATTACGCAGGATTCGGAGGAGCTGGTGGACTGCAGCAGGGAGCAGATTCCGCTGCTGCTTGTGGAGCTGGGTGAATCCAGTTCAGAGACTGTGGAAGCTGCTGCCGAAGTGCTGGGCGCCTCGTCATCCGGTGTTATCGGGGGTGAGGTCAGTCGCGAGGAGCAATTACTGCCCGCCAGACTCCCGGCACCACTGTCCACATCGTCGTAGTCGTACACATCCTCGTCCATTGCCTCGCTGTCCGACTTGGATTTGCCCCGATCCCGATGATCTCGCTTTTCCTCGATCTCCTCCTCCTCCGGTTTCTCCACCAGTTGACTAGACGAGGTACTTAAACCCACTGAAGATCCTGAAGGATTACTAGGACTATTCAGGAGTGGTGTCGCGGGCGCCAGAACTCCACTCTTGCGCAAATTCTGCTCCAGCTCCAGCAGCTGGCCCATGAAGTTAAGATTGGGCGAGATGATCGGCCGGGCCACTTTCACCAGTTTGTAGGCCTCCAGCAGGGAGAGCGACTTGTAGCGCATGACGTAGGCGATGGCGATGGTGGCGCTGCGCGAAATCCCCGCGTGGCAATGCAACAGCACTCGGGAACCCGTTTTCCGTGCATCTTCTGCAAGAAATCAAAGAAACAATCGTTTTAGTGTACTGATAGATAAGGGGCTAAAAGGTTTTAACGATCAAATTTGGTAAGTTTAAAATGGTTTGTGAGTGATTATGGCCTATGTCTATCTTATCTTACTATGCCCTTGCCAGATGAAGGTTTTCTATAGTATTTTGATATTCCCCAAATATTTAGGTGTTATATAAAATTTTGTTTAGTTAATTATTTTGAATATTTTTAAAGTAGCTTTTTCTTATATTTATCAATTTTTAAGTTTTCCGATTTTGGTTTCGTTTTTTAGTTCTAGAATTGAATTTTTTTATTTGCTTCAGCTTTTAATAGCTTTACTTTGAATCTCTGTTGGTGGAGAAACTTTTCGTATTTTTAATATCGAACGTGGAAGCTTCGATGATGTCGTTGCCGTTGTGTTGATATTGCCTTGTCGATACTCTCAGTGTATTAGTGCTGCCTCTCTCTCTCTCTTTTGGTTTACTCTCCCACTCTCCTGGTCGGCAACTCAACTGTGTGAATTTTGCTGATATGAGTCATCATCATTGCCAGAGGCAACAACAACAACCACAAAGCGACGAGGCTTATTGACAGAACATTTTTATACCCCCGCACGCGCACACACACACCCTCTTATTGACACACACACACACACACGTGGACACATTAACTCATAATTTACGTTGTTATTTTTGGCCAAAGATAAGCAGAGAAAGAGGAAGAGAAACCCAGAAGAATCCGAATCCGCAGCATACGTCGCATTTTTTTCCATATTGATTACAGTGAAAAGTCATTAAAGCGGTTTGATTGTAAAAAATCATCATAAAAACATTACTGTCTTGATACATTCTAAATCCCAAATGAAATCAACTCCTTTTAATTACAAACTTATTTTGAGTTTTAAAAATGTATTTCCCCCTTAAAAACAATTTTTAAACACTCTATGAAGAATTTTATTTTGTAAATCATCGACATCATTTCGTTTGCCTTGAAGTTGTCTTCGTTTAAATTTAGAAAGGGTCTTAATTGTTTATTAAACGATTTTCATGTTTTATTTTGACACTTTAAATACTAATACATATTTTAAAATTAACCTTATTGAGTGATTTTTTCCGCTCGCAGTATGAATTTTCAGCTATAGAATTTTGACTGTAACCTCATAAGCCACAACCGAAAAAAATAAGCATTATCTTATCGCTCAGGAATTGGTAGTGGTGTGATTTTGGGCTGGTTGTGGGCAACGGGAATTCCAAGAGGGGTTTTTATAGGGGAATGGGGGAGCCTTTCCTAATCGATGCTTACTCATAATGCAAACAAGGCAACACTTGTCCGATTTCCAAACAGTTGATAACGACCCAGCCGGGCAGAAGCGAAGCCTTGTTAGTCACCAGGCGCCTACCGCCCCAACCGCACCCCCTTTTCTCGCAGTGCACTCACCGCACACCCCATTATAAACCCCTTGCCATATAGCGAAGGAAGTGATATCAGCTATAAATCTGGAAGGCGCGTGTAACTCACTCGGAATTGCGTCCATATTGTCAGCCTTCTCTATATAGAAATAGATATACGTGCATATGTACATAGCTCACCACAAGACCCACCCCATTTCCCTATTTAACCCACCTGAAGAGGTGAGATAACAGTGTGTTGATTTATCAATGAATTGAGTGGGGTGCAAAGTAGACAGCGATAAGGAAACCTTCCCTACCGCACAACTTCGATTTCACAAATTTCGACTACAACTATGAATTGCAGTTTACACACCAGTCAAGTGAAATTAAATCGAGTTAACCGTGTTATCGGGACGACGATGTTGATGATGATATAGCAACTATAACCGGGCACCGGGGAAAAGCCATCATAAATAAATAATCAACTACCAGGCAAAGATAACCATTGAAAATGGAGGTTTTTAGGTGCTAACGTACCTGAAGTACGCACGTCAGAGTGCCGAAATGGTTCTTGCCTCAGAGACTACACTCGTCGAAAAAAGTCCCTCAATTTGTCATGCTATTAGCTTTAAAAGGGGATTCACAAAACTAAGTTAGGCTTCATCAAAGAAATCGGGAAAAGACCCATCTGAATCATCATTTATATTTATTTACATTTCTTGATAATTTGAAATATACTTTTCATATTGACTTTCTTGAAGAAAGTGTTTCAATAAAATATTTCGAAGCCGACTATTTCTACGGTTACTCGTATACTTAATTTTATAACCTACTTTAACAGCTTAGATCTTTCTTTGAGTGTACATCAGGGGAATCAAAAGCTCCAAATAGAGAGATGACCAATTCATAGGCTGGCCAAAAATAGACCCACCGATCGGGGGAGGCCAAAAGACAGCCGCATAGATAAAGAAAGATGGTCATTAAGCGTACAATGGCAGACAATTGGTCACCGTCCCCGTTCCGTTCCGTTCCGTTCGCACGGCGCTCATAAATCCTCTTAGTTAATGACCCCGTCGCTCAGACAGTTAAAATCGCGCATAAACCGCGCCGTAAACGCGCCTGTCTCGCACACACCACACACCATATGACTCATATGGGCTAGAAGAGACCAAGAATACTATTGCAGAATGAAGGCAGGGGCTGAGGAGTTTCGCAAAAGAAGTAGCTGTAAATGATGAATGAATTTCGCAAAACTTTGCTTTGAGTCACTATGAAGTTGTTCCACCTAATTGGGCTCAAGTTCAATTTAAACACTGAGATTATTAAGTATGGATTAGCAAAAAGGTGAAGGTTATTGGTAAGAGGTAAAAATTACTATTAGAAAAACCATTTGTAAATAAACCGAAACAGCTGATAAACTTTTGATTTTAGGTAAAACAAAAGATTTAAAAATAAAAAAAAAATTATAA